AAAAGTATAAAAAATATTGGCCGAAACTTTTCAAAGAAATTGCAAATATGCACAATTTACAGCATTGCATTCACTGACATTTTCTGAACTTTATATGCTAAATTTATAACTTGATATGGTATTCTACGCGTAGACAAAAGAGTCTACTTTAATTTAATATAAAAATCATTAAAATTCATTTGCTAAAAGTACAAAAAATATTTACTAAAACTTTTCAAAGAAATTACAAAGATGCACAATTTACAGTATTGCATTCTCTGATATCTTATGAACTTTTGCAGATTAGTTTATAACTCAATAAGATATTCTACGCGTTGATAAAAGAGTGTACTTTAATTTAATATAAAAATTATTAAAATATATTCACTCTTAGTATAAAAAATATCTACCGAAAGTTTTTAAAGAATTAGCAAAGTTGTACAATTTTACAGCATTGCATTGTCTGACATATTATGAACCTTTGCAAATTGATTTATAATTCGACAAAGTATTCTACGCATAAAAAAAAGAGAGTACTTTAATTTAATATAAGAGTCATGAAACTCTATTCACTATTAGTATAAAAAATATTTACCGAAACTTTTCAAAGAAACGGTAAAAACGGTTTTAAAGTATTGTTTTTGTCAGGTTATCGCAAGTACTTGAAAAATCGTGACTATAGTTATGTGGGACACCCTGTATATATGTATATACAGAGTGAAATGAAAGTAACTTTCCCCAAAATAACTTTCTGATATTTGATGTACACTATACTCAATAAATAATTATTCAAATGATTTTTAATTATTGTTTTACATAAGAGCAGAACAAAATTTAGGATTGGTGTTAAAGTATTGTAATGATTGTTCTATATCAACTGTTTTTATAAATTATTCAAATCTTGTGCTTTGTTTACTCGGGGGAAAGGAACTATGATCCTTATACACTGTATTTATTTATTTAATTCTATTATAGATTCACTAACTTTTCTTCCAGCTTTATTATTATGAAGATTCATCAGACTTCTAGCATCGCCTTCTATTTCTCTTGCATCCAGGAACCTACGTGCGAACCTGTCATTATATTACATTAATTATATATAAATATATAATATTTTGAATATTTTTAATAACAATTGAAAACTAAAAAATAAAAAGAAAGTAATCAATTAATCGTTAATTAAATATTCCATTAAACATATTTTCTTTACATAATTATATCAGAGTTAGTTTAGTTTACAAATTATAGACAAATTGTAATAATAAAAATTTCAAGTTTCAAACATATGCATATGAAATATTAATAAACTAACAGAGAGAAAGAAATTGTTTATAAATAGATCTATAATATACAGATAGATACATACATACATGCATGCATGCATGACATGCATGAATAAGATATGCATAAGCAGATATCATAATGAAACGTAAAATGATTTTAATTAATCCGCCTACCTCATTCCATAAGTGATGTCTGCACTGCAACCTCCCCATTCCCAACCATTCGGAGCTAATTCCTTTCTCGTCCTGCTAAACGAAAGGACACTGATTATATATTCGTCTATTTTCATTTAAAGTCAAAGGTATGTGTATAATATCAAACTAGATAGAGAAAGAAATGGAAAAAGAAATACAAAGAAAAAAATGAATGAATGAATGAAAAAGAGAAAGAGAGAGAGAGAAGAAAAGAAGTAACACAGGTAATCTCGTTAATATGTTCGCAAGGGACGACAGCAAGAGCCTGCCAAGTCGTCGGTTTACCTTATAGCCGGTTCGCAACCGCAAGCCGTGATATTGCCGCGACTGCAAGCTGCGGTTACCGCGTATGTAACTCCAGCCGAGCTTATCGCGTACGTGAAAGCTGCCTCTCTGCTTCCTGGAATACACACAATTACGATATATTAGAATATATATATTCAAATAATATTTAATCATATATATATATATATACATAGGTATAACAATATATTCTATCCCCTACACAAGGTTCATTTATTAATTCAATTTTTTCTGGTTAGATTTTCAACAGAGTTATGGATTAAATCTATATATCTTTTCATTTTGATATTACTTCATACCTTTGTGTATACAATACATATATATTCAAATAAGATTTAACCATATATACATAGGTATATAATATATTTTATCCCCTACACAAGGTTCATTTATTAATTGATTGTTCTCTTGTGTGTGTTAGATTTTCAACAGAGTTATGGATCAAATCTATATATCTCTTCATTATGATATTACTTCATACCTTTGTCTATACAATACATATATATTTAAATAATATCTGATCATATATACATAGGTATATAATATATTTTATCCCCTACACAAGGTTCATTTATTAATTGAATGTTTTCTAATGTGTGTGTTAGATTTTCAACAGAATTATGGATCAAGTCTATATATCTTTTTATTTTGATATTACTTCATACCTTTGTCTAAACAATACATATATATTTAAATAATCATATATACATTATACATAGAWATAGAAAAGATTATATCCCCTATCCAAGTTTCATTTATTAATTAAATGTTTTCTTGTGTGTGTGTTAGATTTTTAGCATAGTTATGGACCAAATCTATATATCTCTTCATTTTGATATTACTTCATATCTTTGT